AGAGAATTCCATACCTCAAGGTGCAACGAACTTAAAGATCGAACAAAGGAGAAACAGTGGACAGTGGCACTCTCCGACGTAGCCGACTGGCCAAGAATCGAAGCTGTTGCTGAGTTTAGACTACGTACCGGACACGATTGCTTGGCAAAACACCTTCACAGATTGGGAGTATACACTCAACCCACATGCCCTCTATGTAACCTACATGAGGAAATGGAGAAAACCCACCTGATTCGGTGTCCAGCCCTAAAGACAACGACGGAAACACAGAGATACTGGGAAGCAAGAAGACAGCTAATGAATTGCTATTAATTAACTGCTATAAATGTACCCCCCCCCCTCTTCTTGGTGGAAGCTGAAGTCAAAGATTAAGGGCTAATGATAAATATCATAAAGCCTGCAATTTGAAATAAATACATAAAAACTTCAGGGTGATACGTCTGATATCATATATAGTTTGTAATATGCAATGGGTCTTCAAGCATGATTAATTATAATGTTGGAACCTTTAGGGAAGTAATGCTAAAATAAAAGCGGCTGATATTCCATGATCATGTCTGAATATCGATCTACTTCATGTGGATTTTCCAAAGAAGACCCAAGCTTGTGTAATGTCCACCCTACTAAGAATGGAAGGTAAACTAATTGAAACTAATGGCTCAACACCAAATGAAGGATCTAAACCCATTCGAAAATCGCCATCAGCACCTTCAGGAATTCCAGATTTTGCACCGGTACGACGTAATGAGCGCTAACTTTTTCTGCCTTAGCATATCCAAAATCTGAGTTCAGCTGCACTTGTTTTTGGTACCTCACTATTACTTCCTAAATAGGAGCCTGGGACCGATCAGAACTAGGAGATTAAAGCACTTACGCAAATCTCAACCTAAATAAACCCCCACCCCCCACCCCACCCCAATTAGTCTCCCCCTTTCGCTCTCAATAATTTTATGAAAAAGAATCGATACAATGAATTCAATTTAATGCTTTTATATACAAACAGCCTTGCAAATAAGATTATTTAATTATCGATTGATACATTTATTAGTATAACTTATAGAAGTAGCATGCATATAATTTGAACTGTTTTTAATTTGTTCCAGTTAAATATTACGCAATTTACGTTACCTGTAAAATGGGATGTTCACGAATTTTCTTCATCTTTTTAGCTGTACAATCAATTTATTCCGATTCCAGACCTGATTATAACTTTAGTGGAGCGGATTTTGATGGCAAATGTGGGAAATTTAACTATGCCATATTTGCCTCAATCGGAGTGCCGTATTCTAAGGCTGTTGAACTTTGTGGAACAATCTATCCAGGCGGAAGATTGGCCTGGATGGGAGACACTGAATTGAAACCCACTCGACGTATGCTTGATCATTTACTGAGCTTTCATTATATGAGTTTTAACACCTATTTTTGGATTGATGGCTATCTCAAAGATCCAAAATGCGCCCCACAAAATTCCTCTTGTACTTGGATCCCTGGTAGATACAGCTTGATTGAAGACCAATCAACAAAAATGTTCAAAAATGAAGACGTTGTTTATCATACACCTCGAAAGGGGCCAGAAAAATTCTGGCCTGTTGTTGTGCCGAATAAAAATGGTGAATACGGTGTGGGGAAGGAGTTTATTCTCTCAGCAGCACCAGAGAAAGAAGAGATTGGATTTGTTTGTGTCTACAGGAAGAGAGAAAATAGATGCCCAATCGGATACTCACAAGTGGATGAAATGCTTCCACAGTATATGCATCCAGTTGCTCTTTCCACAAAAGAGATTTGTGGTCCGGAATATGACAACTAGGTGGTTTTTACTTGGCAACAAATTAGTTCATAACAATCTGTAACCCTCTGTTTATATATATAATGAAAAGTTTAATCAAAAATTTTCCTGAAAGCAAAAGTAGATCTTTACATTCATGAAATTTGGTTTCCTAATCCCACTCGGCTAAAGTGAGAAATATTTTGGAGCAGCTTGAAGAGAATTACGGTGTTCTAACATTTCTGCGGTTGAAGGAGACAAAATGTGGTCGATGCATCATCAATTCAGAAACTGGAGCTCTGGAATTTCAGTGATAGACCCGTTCGAATGGGAAAAAGCCCACCCATTAAGATTGGGTATCTGGCATCGCTACCACCTCTTCTTACGCTAAAATACTTACTGGAAAGCATTCCTGTATTTCCTATCAATAGTTAATAAATTATCCTTTCTTGTGTATTTAATTTTTTATTCTGAAGAATAATTCGCTCTGTTAAAGGTATGTGGGTGGGTCATATGCGGTTAGAAAAGCAAACGTCACAATCTGCAAGTTTTTTGGGGAATGACAAGGGCTGAGGGTAAATAAATTGTATTGTGTAATGGCAATGGAAAGGAGGTGGTGGGAGGGAGGGAGCAAGAATCGAGTGCTCGTACCTACAATCCCCTTGTTACCGACCCCTCTGCTCTATACCAGCCGAATTCCGAACCGTATGGCAGGGCTAGTAAAATTCGATAAACAAGATTTACCTCCACGTAGTACACCTCGGGTAACGCAAACTCATACCGGCAGTGGACTTCTGACTTCAAAATACCATCAACC